ATCCCCCTGTTGCTTTTACGGAAAAATGCTATCCTTTCATTTTGCTGGAACGATCAACAATCTAGATTGGTCTGACCGGTCTACTTGTGACTCCCATAAACCTCAGCTTCTCTAGCCACTAGTTCTCCATCTTTTATGACTTAGAGGGGTATACTGTCAAGTCTTGTTGTTTCGCATCGTTCTAAGTTTGAAACTATTTTCAAATCCAGTGAGAGTTGGAGTATTGACATATAAATCCCACTTAGGTTGGGACTGAATTTTCAGCTCTATCAGCTTCCATTTGTCCATCGAGATCCATTCCTTATCTTCTTTCTTCTTCCTTCCTAATACGGCCGTGCAGGTTTCTTTCCACATCTCTTTCAAAGACTTCCAGTGTTCATCCACACAGGTTTCTTCAGGGATGTTGCCCAATGTCTCCCATTTCTTCCTGATATCTGAAGTGAAGATGTCCCTTGTAATTTCGTCCTTCAGTTCCTGTTGTGGGTGTTCAACTTGAACTGTGATCTGTCACCACCAGCTTGGTTGAAAGTTTTCAACTTGATTTCGAAGGTTCCTTGCACTAAACAGCAAGTGATTTGTACCTACATCTGCTCCCTTCTTGATCTTGTGTCCAGTAGGCTGGCTGCATCTCCACTTTCTCCATATTGAGATGAAGTCGATCTGGTTTTTAGTGTAGTGTGTCCTGGTGTCTGGTGAAATCCATGTCGCTGCTTTGTGAATATCCTTGTGCTTGAACACAGTGCCTCCAATCACTAAATCGTTGAATGCAAAGAATTCTGGAAACAGTTCTCCATTCTCATTCATCATTTCACGGAGCGCTTCTCGACCATGGTTTGTCCTCTTTCTGTGTTGTCTGCTCCCAGTTTGGCATTCATGTCACCCCACCATTAGAATGTTGATGTCGCCAACTGGGGTGGGGTCTTGTCCAGTGTTGATTGAAGTTGTCTGTACAATTCCTCCTTTTTCTCTTGCTCTGCATTATTTGTAGGTGCATAGCGTAGCATTGTATGGTTGTGACTTTCCTTCCTTTTGAGTTGAACCTTGCCGATATGATCCTGGAGGAGATTGGTTCCCACTGTATGAGAGAGAGCCTTCGATGCTCTTGTGGACATCATGATAGCCACTCCATAACTCAGTTTGCTCGTGGTTGTCGTCTGGGTGACAGTATCGGAGTAGATTATTGATTCTCCAATTGACAGTTTGGATAGTCCACTTCCATTCCATCTGCTTTCGCAAATTCCTAGCACTTCTATGCTATACCTTCTCATCTCTTTTGCAATCTGGGCAGCCTTGCTGGGTTCAAACATGGTGCGGACATTCCATGTCCCACGTTTACTTTCGCTTTCATCGAGAGAGGGAAGACACATCGTCCAATTGGCTTCCTGAAGGTTTTCGCCAGTTGGCGTCATTTCGCCTCTCCGATTCCAGTGAGGAATAATTTTGTTTTATTTTTTATATTTCGTTTGTGCTTTAAAGTTTCTTTAGTGGTTGGATTTATTTTATGGGGTAGGGTTGCTATCCGTATGCCCAACCTTCCCTCTTTGCCCGGGCTTAGGACCGGCTAGTAACTAGTGAACTAGTTAACCAGGCGAGGTTAACAAAACAAGGACTACTTCCTAGGCTTTTAACTTGATGTCTCACCTACAGGGCATCAGAGAGACGTCAGGTGCTTCATTAGTATGGTAACGTTGACTAAGGTTAATTCATGAGTCATTCTTCTGTTGAAGATCCTAGTTTACCATCTTTCTTGGACAGACCCTCTGTATCCACCGATCTGATGATAAGCGCTGATCATTCGCTTTTATCCTGTCATTTCTCAACACTTTTACCAAGTTTTGATTTTAGATTAATCACTGTCGTCTTAATAGCTGTTTCTGAAGCAGACTCAATATTGCGCCGTGCTTCATGTTGATGTGTTCATGGGACAGGAAGGAGTGTGCTATTTTCAGGATAGACACTTCTAACCTTTTTTCCGGTAAGGTAGCATCAATTTGTCACGCCGATGCCAACATGGTCCTATTGGCAGCGCGTGTCGTACTTTAGTTAGCCTTCTTTATCATAGAAAATTAGTTTGTTTTTAAACAAAAAGCTAGGCTACTGTTTCTATTTCAACAGTGCTGGTTATCCACAGGAAACACCTTACACTCGTTTTGGTCAGAGGTATAACTTTCCCTCAAATCGTTATCGTAGCGTAAATTATTTACCCTGTAGATGTTACTTCGTGTGTTATCATTTCTGAATTGTCGTCTTACAGACTCCGATTTTCAGAAGACCAACTACGGTTTACGTATTTCTTGATGAATCAATTTGACTATGTTCTCGAATAATCTCATCATATCACAAGGAGCTACCATAACAGATCACCTTGGTTACTCAGACAAAGCTTAAGCTTATAGGTGTGTGCATCCACTCTACTTTTAACTAGTGGGTCACCTGCTATGTGAGAAGACAGGCGTAAATCTTTACTTGTTTAGATTCTAAGCTTCACTTTAACAAATCGTGATGCACTGCAATCTTACCTTCTATCCTATGATGATATTCAGGTTGATTGCTTCCCATTTTTTGATGGTTATCTTGGTACCAGGGGTGAGTGGTCAGTCAAGACCACCGGAAGCTTCGTTTCATGATGGCTTCACTTATCGACTAACAACCCCAGTCATGCCTAAAACCTTGTAAGCAAATCTCAGGGTCGATTACACGGCTACACTATGAATTCTACAACAGATGGCAATTAGTAAACAGAAGGCTACCGAACATTTGCAGCTTGGAGACGCTAAATCCTACAAGTTTTGCTATTGATTAGTTGTAATATTGGCACACAGGTTTGCAGTTATTTGGTTTTTCCTCTGGGGTTTGAATACTTATAAAGAGATTGCTGTGTTTTCAAGTACTTTAACACATTTTCAATGTATTCAAAGAAATTAGTTATAGCTTTTTCGTTCATTACCAAAATATAAGCTGAAATTATGGGACAATCATTTATCGTTGTTTTTGTGGCCTTTCAATGTGTAAAATCTCCGTAGGTATTCTTTATTCCTAATTCCGATGTAGCGTTAACTTAGTTATTGTCTATTACTGTTCATTGATATTGTCTTGCTGAGTGCGTTGTGTTGCGTTGTAATTAAGTCGAACAAGTGTAACATTTTGTGGATTTATTTTGCCACTATATTTGAGTTCAAACTTTGCTTGCTAACAGAATGCTTTTTATGCTACAAAATTAGGCATTAATACTCTTATCTTAACTTTATCTTAGAAAGAATTCTGTGTTCAACTTAACTTTCAGTTGATGATATCGGAATCCTAAATCTTAATGTTGCATATTCCGAACGGATATAATACGCACACTTAATTGCCAGCTAGCTTCGTACTCAAGAGCCAACGACTGAAACCCTGGACGAATCAACAAAACCGAAGCTGGGTGGGAGACTTTATTTCTTCCAGTATAATCAATTAAATCAAAAACACGTGTGTACATATGAGATATGACCTTGTCCGCTATTTGAGACTGACATAGTAAGATTAAGGATTAACCAATCAGCGAATTACATCACAATGGCGGCAGAAAATGAACTATTAGTCATACTGTAAAAAATGGTGTGAAAATGACAAGTTAAAAATGTTCAGATCAATAACAATGTTTTATGCAAAACTGGTGCCTTACAACAGTTAAAAGTTGTCTTGCTGTCAACTTTAGATTACCATACCTATCATCAGATAATGAGTTTGGTTAGTACAGATGTGCGTTTTTAAACATGACTAGCTGTCGTATGCTGTTGTGAAGTCCGCGTTTGTTCATTCTTATTCTGGGAGGAATATTCAGGTGAAATTAGATTCACGGAAGAGCTATCCCATATAATGTGACTGATTTACTGCAACCTGTGTAGTCGGTTAAAACCATTCATTTTTATACCTACTGTCTGTCCACTATAGTTATGTTAAAATTTTTCATTGTGAGGATTATAACAAGACAAGTAATCGGACCATGTCGTCAATCTAATTTCCATTAACCTTACATACATAGCTTTTAACTTAGACATAAAATACAAACCACCAAAGGTAATTTGTCAGTCAATGTTGGTAAGAATGTGAATTCTGCACTTTAGAATAACAAAGATGGTCGTGGTACTAGTGATGATACGATTATTGAGAAAGGCATGATAATGTAAACATGTGTTCAAACAAAGTAGTTGAGAGCTTTGGAAAGGAGGATAAGGCTGTGCAATATCGAAGGACTAAGTCAGTCGACAAATAAAGTTTGAATTCGAATATTGTAGAGGTGATGAAAATAAAAGTAAGAAGGGGGAAAACAAGAGCATTCAAAAAATTTACAGACATGCACATCCACTAAGTCTTCCATGGCTAAGGTAGGAATAAAGGTTTTACAAACATCTTCTGAATACAAAGCTTCGTACTGTTAATTTGAACTGTTATAGCCTCAATCGTGTGTTAATAATAGGTTTGAACTCCATTAGTAAGGTTCGATGGGATGCGGTCGATCACTTTGAACACTCTTTTTTATCACTGTGTGATCATTATCAACTAGATGCAACTAAATAGCGATTCTTCTTTATCTAATTGCCAGACAACTCACTGATTTATTTTGTACCATAAGGGTTTTTAACAAATGAAGTGTGTGTTAACACAGATCTTCTGTACACACTTCTGTAAACTAGAACATCACCTCATCTATTAAGTAGAGGATCAAGGTGGTGTAGCTTACTGTCATATACTTCCTCCCAAGTGAAGGGTGTTTTACTAAAATGCCTCAGTAGGTCATTGTTTTCCATAACCTCGGCAGGTGGGACTTGTTTTGAATCCTTGACGCATCGGTTAAATATTAACTGCCTAGATCAATGAGCCACAACCATAAACTTAGAAAGATGTTCGCAAGAATAGGACTTATTGGCAAGCCCATTCCTATTTCATCGATTTGCTTATAATATGCACTATGTTGTATTACTCCTTTTCATTGGCTTTTTTTTATTCCATTCGTTTTATAGACTTTACCAGAGCGCATTCAAATTCAAAATGAAAAAATGAAAGAAGAAATGTTAGGTCAACTGAAACAATTGGGTAATCTGATATTAAAACCTTTTGGTTTATCAACGAATAATTTCAAAGTACAAAAAAATCCTGACTCTGAAGGTTATTCTATAAATTTTGTTCAAAATGCTGGTACTTCTTCTCAGTGAATGACTTGTGAAGAAGTGTACATTGTTGTCATCGTCGTCGTTGGTATGTTTGTTTCTTTCTTATAAATTCCAAACTCACTAGTTGCTGTGACTTTTGTCGTATTTGTATTTATTCTTTCTCTGTTGCTTTCTTTATTCAATTATTCTCTGAAGTTTATTGATCAGAGTACGTTTCCGTTATATATATATATATATATATATATATATATATATATATATATATATATATATATATATATATATATATATATATATATAAACTCTTTGATAAGCAGAGACGAAATACACACATGCATAAAAAATAAGTCTCGGTGTACAGTTTCATTAAAACGGGGATGTGATTTTGCATTATGTGAGTTGCTTTTTGTTTCTCTCTTCAAGAGATCAACTTGTAGATTTTTATATTAATAGATAGTTAGTGGTTAGCAGTGGAATTTTGGACTCACATCTCTTCCTATTTGGTATTTGTCAGCTGGATGTACTTCACTACAAGTGAGTGATATTCCCATTAAGACTAGAACTCGGGACTTGTCGCTTCAAACATCAGAGCGTTATCCTCTAGGCCACCAAGTGACAATAGTCACTGCATGTACGATAGGTATAGTTTTTTTGTTGTTACCTTTATTATCTCGTTGTAGATTTCAGTGTTGACATTTGTTACTGAATATTGTGCTTAGTTGCACGCTAACGGTTTGGATAAACACTAAATTTCATATCAAACATTACGGTGTTTATTATAAATCTAAGTGATCCGGTCATATTCATGTATTCCAATCATTATGTAAATTTGATTTATATCTCCCCACACGAATGAGACCAACAGTTTGGGACTTCATGGACTGTTGTCAGGTCACTGAACCCGCTTTCAGCCTAATCAAACTTCCACTGGCATTGTTTGTTAAAGTATGTGCAGTACATATTCAAGCCATGTCAGCTGATGAACGTTCATTACCTCATCAATCGACGTATTTATCTTGCCTAGTACCCCTCTCCTGACCTCAACCTTACTCACACGGTGATTCCACCAAACACAAGCGGTATGCTACGAAGATATGTGATTGAAACCCGGTAATCGCTTCATGTTTTCTACAGGTCATTTGAGTTGTCTTATTACTTTAAAATTCTTCCGACCCTGATAATCTTAAAAATACATATTCCTTAGTTGCATTTTCTGTTCATCATTTAGTATTTCTTACCGGTTCTGATATAGTTCTTTAATTTACCCGTACTGCGTCCTTTTGACTTTCCCCTTGTTCCAGTGATGTGTAGGCGTGAAGGCACCCAAACTAGAAAGTCAGTTATTCAAGCATCCAAGCCTTTCTTTTCATCTGGTTAGTTTAAATGTGAATAATTGACTAGTCGAATATCATGAAACACTGTTGCTTAGTACTTATAAGCCAGTTAATCCTTATTCGTTTATTGGATACAGATGATCAGCTTAAAGGTGAAGTATTACGCATGCAATTACCTTGCCTATCCACTCATATCAGTCATTCACAAAACAAAACTACTAATAGTCTCCGACTTAATAACAGGCAAGTATTACGTCATTCAGAAGTTGAAAAAGCTTGTCTAGTGATTGCAAATATATCAGATTCCATGAAGAAAAAATGGTATCCTCCGAAAAAATCCAGCTGATCAATGTTACTTCATATACGCATTCTCCTTTATCAAGTTGAATAGGAAAGAGCAATGGCTGAAGTAGAATAGTGTGGTACTGTTTCATTTCGCAGATTTCTCGTCAGCTGCTTGCAAATTAAAAACAATTAAATATCATATGAAAAAATAAGTGGAACACACAGTTCTCCAGGTACATGAAGTTCGTTAACGAAATGATTTCACAAATGATACGATCATCCGTATTACGATAGCAAGATATGCTATAAATTTTCAGTTATATGTAATCGAAAAAATAGTGTGAGAATAGTAATCAGGTCGTCTAGTTGATGGATAAATAAGCAGACAAATTGTGTCATAATATGATGAGTTGAACTCAATTGGTAGAACGATCATCAAAATTTTGTAGAAACAGAAAAAAAATGCTCACTCAAAAACTGATGTCATCAAATAAGGGGAAGAGTAATAAGTAACAGGTTACTAGAGGAAGAAAAAAACGTATCACTGTTTCATTTAAAAAAAACCATTCCTGATCCCGATTTTCGATCTCATTGAACTTGAAAGGGTTCGAACTACTTTCCTTAAAGATTGCCATGAGGAATTTTATTTCTCGAACTCTGTTGGATCAAATATATAACTGGAACTTCATACCATTTATTTATAACGTTAACTGGATGTTTCCATTTCTCATTAGATCATTTCCATCGCTGTAAACTAGATTCATTTATGTGCGAAAAACTATGCTCCTAATGCTTTTCTATATGAGATTTAAGTGTTTGAGATGGATGTTTTGTGCTGTAGTGACTGGACATTGTTTAGTGGATAGACGTTGTGTGTGTTAATTGTTGTGTGTTGTTTGTGGATTGTATAGAGGTGTGTAGGGATTTGTTGATCATTATGTGGATGTATTCGCTGTGTCGGATGTGATGAGTAGAATTTGTGCAGTGCAGGTAGCATTGTGTGTATGTTTTTGATGGTTTTTGTGTGTTTGTCTCCTAGGTGCGTGGTGTGTATTATTTGATGTAGTGTTGTGAATGTGGTGGATTGATCGTGGGGAGGGGGGTATTTTGAGTGTGCATGATGTGTACGATGTGACTAGGCGTGTGTATTAACTTTGTGGAGATTCGGGTGGTGTTTTTTCATCTTCCATCTCTTTGCACTTTATTGCTGATTTCCACTTTACGTAGGACAGATTTTATTTTGATATTTGTGTCACCAGCAGAGGCTCGCTTGGCATGCATATCGACTGGATCAAAGTGAGGAAGCAGCCGAGATACGAAGCCTAATATGTTGCGTACGCAGGATAGGCGGACAGAGTCCATTATTTATTCACTGTCCACCCACCGACAGATTCCTTCTTAGAATACGGCTAGCATTTCTAGATAAAAAGTGGGATAACCACTTTATAAAGAACATTCATCATAAATGTATTATTTTGCCTGCTGCGCGGAGATAGTAGAGCATCTCTATTGAAACTACTACCCACAGGGATGTCGTCGTCGTTCACTGAATAAGCTGAAGTTGTGATTCTGTCCTCGTGTCGAACAGATATGGTAAGTTCCCGTGATATAATGCCAAAATGAGACAAACCATGCACTGCGAGACAGACATTTAGACAATCCACTTTAGGTGATCTATTCCAGGCTGCAACATGTGAGACTGATAGTGTCAACGTAATTCAAAATGTTTCGGCTTTATCTCTATGACATTTAGCAGTAGAAGTGATAAGCTTTAAAAGAAGAGGGTTAGTGCTGTATCGTAACCTTAGACAAATACTGAAAATTTCTAAGATTTTTCCTTTTCTGTTGAAATACTACTCTAATGGTTAGCAATTGTAATCAGCTTCTGGTGCGAGGCTTTGTTACTTTGTACACAAACTCAATTCTAATGCAGAGTGAAACGTTTTATTAGATTTTTTGCATCAGTGGTCATAACCGTGATTTCATTGAAACATACATACTGATCATATCTGTGAAAACGCTGTTCCACCACGTAGCTCCTAATCAGCACAAATACATTGTTGTCATCATAGTTTACCAGCCGGTGCTATTAGTCGAATAATAAAACCTACAAAGCATTTTCACGCCCGGGCTATAAGCTGTCTGTTCTGCTCTATGATATCAGCCACGGTGGGCCTCGCAACATTTTATTGTATGAAATACTAAATGAGATGTACAAAATACCGCGGAAGCAAGCTCAGGCCCTTGTACACAGTGGTGGAAGACAAATCCAGACTTTGTTGGCCGGAATAAAATTATCTTGTGAATCTGTCGAACCCATGCTTACTATTAACGCTCCGAACAACTGACGTTAGGCAATCACAACATAGCAAGCAAGTAGGCAGTGACAGTAGCACGACGTGTTTAATTCAAGCGCTCTGGTGAGGAGGCGAAGTGGGTAGGCTTAAACAAGTGCATTAAAAGTTACTCGTAATTCACTAGAGGTCAGTGGTGAATACAAAAGATAGAAATTCATAACCCAGTTTGCTGGGCACTACATCAGTCTGTCCCTAGAAACGACCTGTGTTAGGGCGTCGTTTCGATGCAGTCCCATATGAACTGAACAAGGTGGGGAAAGAAAAGTAATAATTGTGATCGAAAAATGCTTAGCTGTTCAAATGGAATAGTGATGAATAGGGAACTGTTGTACAGAAATGTCAATGCGTCATTAGTTTACTAATCACTGTTGTCTTTCGACTACTGTGAAGAATTTTTCCAGTCTTGTTTTAACCTGAAAAAGTAAAGACAAGTATAGGAACTTCACGAAAAGTACAAGGTAACGAAATAATTTCTACATGTGAAAGGACTGCAAAAATTGATGCATACTCATGTTAACCGTCTGTTTGAGTATTAGCCTAGAAGTCACTTTTTGTCTTCAAGGTTTAGCTATTTGTCTGCATAGAACATAAAGCTTTTATTAATGTCAAGTAAAATATACAAGTTGATTGATGAGAACTAATTCATTGCACGACTTGTAATGAGTGTTTAGGAATTGTCCTTGTGCGGATTTGACAGATACAGAGGTGGGTCACTAATTATTCGTACTTGTACTATGCTGACAAATACGACACCAAGGAAGAGCACAATAGCTTAGTCAGGTGGGATAGTATATTTATGAGGTCGCGCTAAAATGCCTGCGTGTTCCAGCTAGCTGACTAGAGAGTCGCACACGCGCAGTGCAACACACCCATATAGCTTGCCGAATGGTAGGGATACTTGACCATATGTCTTCAATTAAGCAACCCCGATAAAACCATGAAGGCAAGAACCAATGTTTGCTGGTGCTACTGATTCTAGGTTCATGAGGACACTAGGACAATAGCAGCCAAAAGTAGAACCCAGTGGTGAAACCACTGGTAAAACTGTCCCAACGAGCTCATTACC